TAAAAAAAAGAAAATAGACAATAGTCACCCCCATTTTCTGATTAGAACTTTTTATCTCCCTGTTATATGTAAATCAGCAGCCACAGAAATGTGAGCGTGGTCTCAAATATGAGATGAATGAAACAAATAACTTATATTTAATAGCTTCACAGAGCTAGGAGAAGAACTTGCAGCCAATAAACAAAAATAGGAGGCTGTTAAATAATACAGAATCAAAAAAAGTCTTGGAAATTGAAAATATGACTGAAAGAATTAAAAAACTTAAAGTTGAACCAAAAGACTTAAGAGGAAGAAATTATCAAAGAAATAAAGCAAGAAAATTTTCTTGATGTGAAGTACATGAAATCTCAGTACTTTGAACAATAAATAAAAATAATCCAGAGCAACTTACAAGGGCTCCTTGTCATGCAATTTTGGAATACTTTTGAGAAAATTCAGAGAGGGAGGGAGAAAGGGAGAAAGGAAGAGAGGGAGATATGAGTAGTAGAGCGACATGATCATTGGATGGCGGGTAATTTATAAGGACTCTTGTTAATTATGTAATTATCATTTAAGCATCAGGAGGGAGAGAAAGTGGGGGGGAGGAAGAGAAAGAGAGGAAGCAAAGAGAAAATGAGAGAAGAATCTGGACATAGCTTTCTCATTTCTTCAGTTACTGGAAAAAGCAGATGATAGCGAATACTTTCAAAATTCTCAGTACAACGATTTCCAACCTAGAATACTATTTCCAGAATAGCTATCATACAGTTGAATGTCTTTCACCAACGTGAGAGAGTAATTCAAAAGTAAGGAACAAATAAGATCTAGGAAGAAATAAACAAGTGACGGGCAGAAAGAAAATTAAACAAATGAAAAGAGAAAATTGCTAGCTAAAAATACCAACTGTACAAGGAAATGTAATCAAAGTACACAATGTAGTTCAACTGGGAATAATATTTATATGGTCTTAATAATATAAACCCTCAATATTTATTTGACAAACAAATAGATAATATTTCTATATTGAAATATGAGTAGTAGAGTGACATGCTTTATTTGGATGGAGGGTAATTTACAAGGACTCTTGTTAGTTATGTAACTGTCATTTAAGCATCAGGAGGACTGGAGTTTGCTTTGTTCACTGTGAATTGATAGTGCCCAGAACAATGGCTGGCATGTAGTAGATCTTCAATAAATATTTTTTGAATGAGTGAAACTTCCATGTAAAGAATATTACTCCTAGGAAATTTGTAAAGAAGAACATATTTCTTTGTAAAAATCAAGTAAAGATTTCTTTGTTAAGTTAAAATAAATAAAAATGAACTTTAAGCTATAGCATATGGCATCTGCTTCTCTCTAAAATTTTAAGACTAGCATTGTCAAAATTTTAAAGTAATTACCTAAAATAGTTAAACTGAGCATCAAAATATTTGAGGCAATTTAAAAATGAAAGATGTTCCTGGGAAACAATTCTCTGTAAATCCTTATGCTAGTTAGTTTGATTGGATGTGCCCTGAAGCTCAGAACAGTTCCAGGGAAATCAAAATGTAATTTTCTCAGTTTGGAAAACAAATTATTTTATTGACTTTTTCTTTCACTCAGATAATATAGGATGGGATGAGAGAATGGCTCTGTTTTTCTTTTCAAGCTGGTGGACTTCTGAGGGAAGCTTTCAATACTTCCTCTCACATTAGATCCAGAATACCGATTCCTTTTATTAAATCAAAAGAGTTGCATTTTGGATTGGAGATCTGCTTTTCTATCTAATGGATCTAAATTGGGTCTACAGCCCAGTTCCACTTGGCTGCGAATTTACTGCTGACTCTTACGGGAATGCAGCCTTGTAACTGTTCATTCATCCTCTCCCTCACGCCCTTCGTTGAACATTCGCTGTGCACCTACTATACTCAGACACTGGGCAAAGATACCACTAGGAGAGGAATATTAGGCCAAATAATTCTGGGTGCTCAGAGATAAAATGACTGGTCCCATGGGGCACTAGAAAGATATTCAACACTCAGGATTTAAGTATATTTTTGTCCAGATTGGTCTCCGGAAGGGGTGAGCACTCTCGTCTCAAAGCTCAGGGATCTGAGTTCCCAAGGCCTTTTCAGAAACATCTCCTGACTTCAAATGGGCACAAATACTTTCAAACTGTCAGAAAGTATTCTGACAGTTGTCCACGCAGCTCCATGCCTTGGGCAAATAGGGCTGAGCCAGAGGATGGTGCCTGGGTCTCTGGAGAGGAAGCCAACTCACCAGCCCCCAGCATCCAGGTTAGAAACTCGCTATACCCCTTCCCCTCCCAGTACTTACTTTCTAGTCTTTGGGAAGGCTAAATCCCAACACAGTCCTGGTCCCTTTACCACACAGTGCACTACTGCTACTTCCTCCACACTGGGGCCCTGGGGATCCAGAGTTTGGCATTGCGAACATTCTCTAGTCCCTCCCCCTGCCCAACTCCAACGCTGGCCCAGTGATTCCTACACCTTTGCAGTCTGCAGCCCTTTTCCCTGGCCAGAATCGTGAAGAGACACAAGTCTCCCCTCGTACTCGCAGGACTTCGGGAGGAAGAGCCCCCTGGGCGTTCAGTTTGGGTTTCCCTCGTTCGAGCTAAAAGTCAGCCCAAAAATTGGGGCGCAGAGATACTTTTCCATTGCTATAGAGGAGTTCCTTACAGAGGACAGCTTCCTGGTAAGTGATTACAAAGGTCCTGGAAGTTCTCCTGCCCTGCTTCCGGTCCGTTCCAGGTGCCACGCGATGTTCCCGAGGGTGGGGTGGGGGTCGGGTCCTGGGGACGAGGTCCCTGTGCACTCTGCGTGCCCGCGTAGGAGGCCGGGGGTGGGGATCTGCCCTGTCGGTAGTCTTTGGAGGGTGTTATCTGAGTTCCAATTGCCCACGTGCTGGAGGCACAGCCTGTACTCGCCCTCAAGTAGATCGTGCCACAGAAAATACGAAGACTTAGACGTCCCCCGAGCTCCTTTCTGAACTTCAGAGGCAATAGGCACCAGCCCCGGGGATCCCACGAGCTTCTGAATTCTCTCCTCGCCTTGCACCCCAGGAAGAGCCTTCTCGAGCTCTGGAGGAGATGGCTGGCACCTTCGTCGCAGGGCTTGTTCGAGGCCCGGAGGGTGGGCGGTTTCTCTCCATACTTCCCCACTCCCCCCAACTCCAGCCCACTCTGCGCTCCTGCTCCTTCAACCACAGTTGGGTTCTTCTCCCGACACTACGGTGCGCAGCGCCGACTCCCAGAACCCGACTTTGCTTAAGAGAAAAAGAAGCGGCTGAGTTCCTGTGCATGGAGGTGTGTGCGTGTGTGTATGTACTTGTGTATGTGTGGGGGCGCCCTGGGGGTGGGGGGCACTGTAACCCCTGAGTCTATAAAAGTGCCTGTTTCTCAGGGCAGAAACACGTGGGGGTGCGTTCGGGTCTGGGCGAGGCTGGCGGGCGTGGGTGCGCGAGAACTCTTCTGCGAACAGTTGGCGAGGGCGTGGACGCTGCAGTGGGCGCGGCGTCTTGGGGAAGGCGGGTGCGCGCGTGCGAAGGGCGGAGCGCCTGGCTGGGCTCCAGAAGTGAGTGCGGGACGCGCGCCCCGCGGCAAGTGTGAGTGCGCACACCGCGCGTCTGCAGTGGCGAGGGGTGTGAGGGGTGTATGTGTGTGTGTGTGTGTGTAAGTCCGAAGGCTGACCTTTGGGCTTGCGCACCAGCTCTCCTTCGCGGGTCGGCGCTGGACCCTGGCCAGCTTAGCAATCAAGCTGTTCTCCCAGAGAAGAGGGCGGGGATCTGGGGAGAGGCAGGTCGGGCACCCGCAGTCCCCTTCCCGCAGCGTGGCAAACAGGAGCCAGAGGCGTTGGGCAGCTGCGTAAATCAAATCAGTGGAGGGTGCCCCTTTGGATGGGGGGATTTGGAACCCGAAGTTGAGGATGGGGCGTTTGAATGGATGCCTAGCCCCTGTGCAGGCAGTACCAGTTAAACCCCTTCTGCGACCCTCTCCTCCACTTCTGCTCCTCCCAGAGGAAAGAGGCGAGGAGATTTGGCTGCCAGATTGGAAGCCAAACAACTTTGCAGTCCCTGGAAGCAGGCGCCGGGAGGGAAGGTTTTGATGCGGGGTGGGTGGGGGAGATGTGGAGACAGAATACCATGTGAACTGCCAAAGGCAGCAACCTTTCAAGGCCTCTCTCCCCCACATACCCCTCCATCGCGGTGGGTTATTTCACCTGAGATCCCTTTAGAAACCAGGACTACTGTCAACTTCTCGAGGGTCCCGAACTGGCATGGCAGAAGAGTGTAGGAGCCTGGAGAAAGTGCGAGAACCTCTGGCCCCATGTACAGTCCGTTGTTCCAAACTCTTCCCGACTTGCTCCCACTTTCTGGACGTCGAAGGCCCTCCACCCTCTCCCAGCCTTCCAACTCTCCAAGCAATGACCTCATTGCAAATGACAGCCGGGAGCGGACGGCTCCCCTCCCTAGTGACTCGGTGCGGGGAGCAAGATAAATGACGCAATCGGAACTGGTTGGATCCTGGCCACTTTGGATTGGCCGCGCCGACTCGTGGGGACCCCCCTCCCGCCCTCACTGGAATAAGAGCAGAGAGCTCCGCGGAGCAGACGCCCACAACAGGCGTTGTGTCCAAACGGGTGGACCCGCGGCACGCTCTTCTGAAACTCGAGTAGCCAGGTGAGGAACTTTTTACTCTGCTTTGGAATAGTTTTGGCAGTTTATTTCATTTGCCTGCCTGCCTGTCTTGCTTCTCACAGCCATTCCGACTCACCTGCAGCCAGGTGCTCCTAGCTCCCTGTCCCGCTCGGGAGAAGGTGGATGGTTGGGACTATCAGCAACTTTACTCTCAATTAGCTCCAGTGGGTGCTAACAAGCACCCTCGGTCTTCATTTGGGCGCTATAAAGTGCCTGCGGCCCGCGTTGGTGCCGGTGGGAGCGCAGCATCCTACCAGAGTTTGGTCTGGGCGTGCCCTGCGCAGTCTGTGTCCTCATGGATCACGCTTGGTTCCTTGGACCTGGATCCCTGAGCCTTCGCGGTTGGCGCCTCCAGCCCGTGAGCATCCCTGGGACGTGGCTGCGAACCCGGGGCAGTGCAGCGGCGGTGCTAGCGCCCGGCATCTGTCGCTCAGCAGAGGCTGAACTCCTTTGGGCAGAGCCCAGAGACCCTCATAACCGGCTCCTAGAATTTATCCCCAAATCCATCCCCACAGGCTGACGTTAGGGTTCCTGTCCATTTTACCCTTCCTAACTTCCCTGCACGTTTTGGCCCGAGGTGTAGACCAGAGGAAGGGAGTCCTAGATTTCTCAGTCCCTGAGAAGACAGGTGCAGTGGGAGAGCAAGGACAAAAGGGTGGGTCCGTGTCTGGTGTCCGCAGAGGGCAAAAGATGTGGCTCTATTGTATGCATGCGCATCTGTGTGGCTTTTCCCTAACTTCCCACTGAGCTGAAGCAGCCTTCCTGCCCCGCCTCCAAACCCCAGGACACTTGTTCCTGCTCCACCAGGCTGCAAAGTATCTTTTGATATTCACATCAGTCCGTTCTGCACAAGAACAGAACTCGGGAGGCTTGAGGAGGTGGGGCAACTTGCCTGAGGTCAGAAGGCCTTTGTGGCAGAACCGGTACTGGAACCCAGGTCTGTGCGCTCTGGAAGGTGCTTGATCTAGGTGGAGAAGTAACATCGTTCTCCCTTTACAGAGAGGCATCATGGGCTTCGGAAAGTCCTCCCCCTTCCTGGCTTTCAGCATCTTGGTCCTGTGCCAAGCAAGCAGTCTCCAGGCTGCGCCATTCAGGTGAGAGAGCCTGAAGCCCGGAGAGCACTCCCCTTCCACTGCCCCTGGGGTCAAGCAGTTCTGTAACTTTAATATTCCAGCATCGTGAGGGACACTCTAGGGAGGATGCTGTCCATGAGCCCTGGGGCCGGGAGTCAGGGAGGCCACATTTTCAGGGAAAGTCACGGAGAACTGGAAACCTGGCTGGGGAGGAGGTAGAAGTGGGGCTCAGAACCTGTTGGATTTGCTTCCCCTCTTCAGGACGGCTTTGGAGAGCCTCCCAGACCCGGCTTCACTCAGTGAGAAAGAGGGGCGCCTCCTGCTGGCTGCACTGGTGAAGGCCTATGTGCAGAGGAAGACCAATGAGCTGGAGGATGAGCAGGAGACTGAGGGCTCCAGGTAAGGCTCCTCACTCCTCACGTAGGAGTGGCCATAGTGGACATAGTCCACAGTAGGAGTGGACATAGTCCAGAAAGGTAGGAAAAACAGCATTTGCTCAGGAGTACAGCAGACTGGCCTTCACCAGGACCTGAGACTCTGCCTCCGTCAGGGTCCTTGGAAGAGGTCCAGGTACAGCTGGAGGGACTGTGGCTAGACATGAACATGATCCACTTCTGAAAGATATTAGGAAAAGAAATGTGGAGACGTGGACTCACTCAGGGACTTGGTGTTGCCCTACGGAGAAGTCCTCCCAGCATTGGCTGAATTAGTACTGGAAAGCATGGATCCAGGGGATGGACCCAGCATATCTTGGGATGTTCTAGAAATTTAATGTGTGTGTGTTGTTCTCCCACACCTGCAAGGGACCTTCATTTTTCATTTGCAAGGTGAAGCCACAGGCCGTGCAGGGGGTGGGCTCAAGGAGAGCAGTGTCTGAGGTAGGTGTGGGGACCTTTGGCTGTGCAGGATGATGTAGATGTGCATGTTGCCACGGTGCTGAGGGAACACCCTTGCCCAATTCTACCTCCCTGAGCACCCTGAGCTTGGAGCACATCCCAGCCCCTGGCCTGGCCCCAGCAGTGTCTGGGCAGTGGAACTTGTTGCACCTGCATCCACCCTGAGAACCTCTCTGCAGAGCACAAAGGACTGAGCAGCATGAGGAAGGCCAGAAAAGGCCACCCCCTCCCCACCACAGCCCACCCACCCTGCCCTGGCTCTGCATGCCTCCCAGTTCTCCCCATGGAGGAGGTGTGAGCTGCCCTTCTGCCTGCCCCTCCTGTCCCTGCTCAAATTGTTCCTTCTCTAGTCATACCCTCTGCATGACTGCCGGTAGCTGCATGGTATTGTCTGGCATGGTTTTCTCCCTGCAGCCTGGACGGCTCAAAGCTAAGCGGTGCAGTGGTCTGAGTACCTGTGTGCTGGGCACGTACGCCAAGGACCTGAACAACTTTCATACGTTCTCTAGCATCGGCTTTGGGCCTGAAACACCTGGCAAGAAAAGGGCCATAGCCAGAAGTTTGGAGCTGGACCACTTCCCCAATTGGGGGTGCCCCAGGATGCCAACTGAACACCTTCTGCTCCTTCCTGAGTTCCTCTCTTGCTCCCATTGGTGAACCTTAATGCATGTAGATTGCACCCTAATTGCTCTTGAAGCTGGTATTGGTAGCTTTGCTTAAGACAGAGTGTTGGGAACTGCAGGATGTAAGGAAAGAGAGCAGGAGTCAGAGAGGTTAGACATAAGAATAAGGGACATTTCTAAGACTCAGAAGATTTCATGGCGAAGTCCTCCAATTCCTGCTTCATCTCTCATGTCTTATCACTGATTGATAAACCTATTTCCTGAAAGGATTTGCTCTGTGCTGGTCATGACTCTGGTCCCTGCCCAAGATGTGAGAGTGCCCAGAGCCCAGGTAAAATTAGCTTTAGCCTCAGGGTAACTGGACACCTGTTGACAGATTTGGTGACAGGGCTTGGTAAGTGGTACCTGTGAATGAGCTCTGGCATCCAGAACAGATGTGCTGAGGAACAGGTAAGTCCCTCTGGGGGTGGGGCTGAGGGCGATGCGGCAATCGCTGTTTTCTGAATCTTCCAGGTAAGTCTTCAGAGAGTTTTAATGTCCCCATGAAGAGTGGTCTTGTCGGTGCCAAGGCTGTGGTGCAGTCTCTGTATGTACCCTGTGTGTCTTGGGGTGGGACTGGGCTTTTGCTGACCACTCCTTCCTGCTTCCAAAGGAACTGTCTCAAAGGGATGGCAAGTGCAGGGTGTCAGCATGCGCCCCACAGCTTAGAACTGGGTTTTTTTCATGAAAGTCTGTGGGCAGGGCTCCTAGCAAAGACTGCCAGATCATTTCTCCTAACAGCTTTCATAATTGCATTTAGGAGAAACGCTTTTTCTTAAGTGGCACGCAGAAGAGCTGCAATCCTCTTTATGAACATCCCAGGGGGCAGACTCCTCCCCCAGACCCCACCCTCTCACTGACCAGTTTTCTCTCTTTCCCCATCCTGCCCACCAGCGTCACTGCCCAGAAGAGGTCCTGCAACACTGCCACCTGTGTGACCCACCGGCTGGCAGGCTTGCTGAGCAGATCTGGGGGCGTGGTGAAAAGCGACTTTGTGCCCACGGATGTGGGCTCCGAAGCCTTTGGCCGTCGCCGAAGGGACCTTCAGGCCTGAGCTGCTGAATAACTCAAGGAAGAAGGTGACTGCCCTTGAGCTGTCAGATGGGAGGGAGAAGGGGGTTGGAGGTGACACCCACATTTTGAAACCCACTGGACTTGGTAGTTTCTTCGGGTCTCTTCTCTCCAATTACATTCTTCTTCCTGAGCCAGTGAGTTCTTTCTAACTCAGCTAGGCAATATAGCATTAGGATAGGCTGCAGAGATCATCGCCATCTTTCTGAGAAGAGAAATGAAAAAAAAATTGGCACATTTATAACGGGAGGGCAAAGCTTAGCCAAGGCCACTGGTTGTTAATGAACCAAGGTTCAGAAAGCACTCACCTCTTGACCAGCACTCACAGAGCCAGGTCATGGGCTGTAGTCATGATGCTACTGCTAATGTCAGCAGTGACTGTTGAATTGTTTTTCTCATCATTTGCCTTAAAAGTCTGCTGACACCTCATAGTCATAATTTATAAATGCTGTTTAAAGAAGGCCTTCCTGTTCTTTTCAGTAATAATTGTGATTATTCTGTTGACATGCTTAATTTTTTTCCTCCTCTTTCTCTTCCTCCTCCTCCTTCTACCTCTTCATTTATGTATTTTTTCTTCTCAGGTTACCATGAAGCTGAACTCACCACTTCTATTTATTTCTGTTGAGAACAACTTGGGGAGAAGGCTCCGTGGAAGATATACCTGTTTGCATCCTAATAGATACTGAATAAAAGCACCTTTGTCACTTGAAAGGAATGAAATGGAATGCAAAATAAGCTAATTCCATATTTATTGTGCATCCTTTTTATATTTGATTTTTTTTTTTTGTGCAGGAAATGTATTGACATCTCTCATCAGCTTATCTGGTAGCAAGTTGGTTCTCTGAGAGCTACCCTGTTGGTTATGCAGCTCTGCCAAACATGAGCCACTGCCTCTGTGGTCTCTGGCACACAGGGTGATGGGGATGCTATGCCTTGTCATGTAAGAACATGATGGTATTTTTGTTTAAGCCCATGTCAATATCGTGCATTTGTGAACTTCATCAAGATTAAAAACATATTTTGGATATACTTGTTTCAAAATCTTGGTGATTCATTTCTACTTGTTTTCCTAGGCAATAAAAACAATAGTGACACTTTTGAGTGCTTACTATGGGCCAGATGATGTTCCAAGACCATACTTCATGCCTACAACTCATTTATTCTTCATGACAGTTCCATGGGAGTGATACTATTCATATTTCTACTTCGCAACTGAGGAAATGGAGGCACAGAGATGTGTAACCCAAGGTCACACAGATGGTTAGTGGCAGACCTCGATTTTGGTATCTAGAGTTTATAGTTGAAACCACTGTCACTAATTGTTTCTCACAATAGCTCCTGAGGTTAACAGAGACCTGTGAGCTATTCTTTGACCTAACTACATCACATTGTAGACCCTCAGATTTTGAAAACAAGTGGAAGATTTTAAGCACACAAATAACCTATTCTTTATATACTAGAGTGAATTCCTTCTATGCAGAGTTTGGCACTGTACTAAATGTTTTGTGTCCCACCAACATTTGATGCTGAAACCTTAACTGCATAGTGGTAGTATTAGGAGGCGGGGACTGAGGGCTGCGATTATGTCATCAGGGTGAGCCTTTCATGGGTGGGATTAGTGCCCTGACAAGCAAGGCCTGGGAGAACTTCCTTACTCCCTCTCCTGTGAGTGGTTACAGTGAGAAGTCTGCTATCCATGAGGAAGTGGGCCCTCGCCAGACACTGAATCTGTGGGTGCCTTCATCTTGGACTTCCTAGCTTTCAGAACTGTAAGAAGTAAACATTTGTTGCTTCTAAGATAACTAATATGTAGTATATTTTTAGAAGATTTTTATTTTTATTTATTTATGCATATACAAACTAGGGTGTAGACCAGAAGTGGTGGTGGGGGGGGTGAGAAGATTCACCAGACACAGAGTGGGGAGTAGAACAGGCAGAGCTACTGAAATACACTGCTGAGGGGAGCAGCAGGTGAGACAGGAGAGGACTGCTGTGCCATGTGGGTCAGCTCTCTGGCAGGGGATCAAACACAGGCTGCAGCAGCTGGGGAGAGCTTCGTAGCGCTGAGACTTTAACACCTGTGCCAGCCACCAGGGAGGCCCTTAATTTGTGGTTTTTTGTTATACTGCTGAAGACATTTGGCTTCACAATGACCAATTTATAGTCAATGTTGTTACATTTATTCATCATTAACTCCCCTTCCTCCATGGTTTGATATGCTATAAATATTTCCCCATGTCTCTCTAAGCCAGAAGGATTCCTTAAACATAACCAGAATTCCATTTAACAACTAAAATAAATTATCAGTAATTACCAAATTCTTTAATATCTCATCAGTCATGGTTCAAATTCCTCAAAAATGTATGTTAGACATATCATGTATGTAATATGCTTTAAGGCTCTTCTAACCTAGAGGGAGGGCCCCTCTCATCACTTTTTTCCCTTCTTGTAATTTGTTTGTTGGAGACATTAGATCCAATAGAATTTTCCACACTGTGAAATCTCCACCACGCCCCCATGCCTCCCCACAGCAAGGTAAAATTTTATTACCTTAGGTAAAACTGTTACCAAAGTAATAGTTTTTTTTTCACTTGACTTCTACTTTTTGAAATTAATTAAGCACCATTGTTGTGCATTTTGCTAATATTTTGACAATATTGGATTTTTCCCCTTAGGTGTGGTCATTATAGCTCTCCCAACACCAATGCACCCATAGTCCTCCACCATAGTCCTTTGTGTTCCCCTGCTCCTGTTCTTATCCCTCCCACTCTATCCACCTCTGAACCTCCCCTCTTGGATGCCTCCGGTGTATGGTTAGTTTTCAAGAGTTGATGTTGAAGTTTGTCTTTTTTTGATCCTTTGTTTGGTTTCTCTATATTCCACATATAAGTGACACCATCTGGTATTTATCTTTCTTCTACTGACTTATTTCACTTAGCATAATCTCTTCCAGCTCCATCCATGCATGAGTTCATCTTTTTTGATCGATGTGTAGTATTCCATTGTGTATCTATACCATATCTTCTTGATCCATTTATCCGTTTTTGAATATTTAGGTTGTTTCCATATCTTGGCTATTGTAAATAGTGCTGCAATAAACATAGGCATGCAGGTGTCCTTTTGAATTAGTGTTTTTGTGTTCTTTGGGTAGATTTCAGATTGTAAATTTTGATGACTGCATTCCTGTGGGGACTCAAATGGTCCTCTTTATTCTGTATTTCTTGTGTGCCCTCAGATCTAGAGTGGGAGAGGGGAAAGAGAAGTAGGAGAAGACATCAGAGAATTAACGGAGAGGACAAATCAATAGGACTTTGTAGGGAATAGGAAAGACTTTGCCTTTCTATCAGTCAAGTTCTAGTTGTAAAATAGAAAGCACATTGTCATTTTAGCAGAAAGAATAAGATAAGAAATTGACTTAAGAGGTTGGCACAGAAAGGCAAAGGTGAGATTATAGACTGATGCAGCTATCTTGGAAAGTGATATGGATTTACCTTAAAAAACTAAAAATTGAAATAATCTGTGGCCCAGTTAATCCCACTTGTGGGCATCTCTCCACAGAACATGATACTATCAATACAAAAAATTATATGCAATGCTTATTGTAGCATTATTTATAATAGTTGGGACATGGAAACAACCTAAATACCCAGTGACAGAGGATGGGATCAAGAAGATGTGGTATATCCACACAATGGAATATTATTCATCCATAAGGGAAGATGAAATGTTGCTATTTACAGCAAAACAGAAAGAATTTAAGGGAATTATGTGCAATAAGGCAAGTCCAAATGACAAAGACAAATATTTTGGATGTTTATACAACAGATGATTTGACAAAGCAAAATACTATGAAAGTGAGTAGTCACTAATAAAATAGTGAGGTTTCTGGCAAGAGGGAGGAGAGAGAAAGGCCAAAGGGGTATAAAGGATGGTGGTGAGAAAAAAAGAGAAGGCAAAAGAAAACAAGTGGTAGCTGGAGATAGAAAGGGAAGGGCATGGCTACCATACACAGGCAAGAGGACAAAGGGACCTGGAGGAGGCTTCTCAGACCCCTGAGAATGGTGGAGGCTGAGGTTGCTGTCTGTGAAGGGGCACAACAAAATCATTCTTGAAATATGGGCGGGCCTCCCCGGTGGTGCAGCGGGTTGAGTGGGTTGAGCGTAGCGCTGTGAAGCTGTCCTTAGCCTCTGCAGCGTGGGTTTGATTCCCGACTGGCCAGGGAGATACCACACAGCGGACCGTCTTGTCTGTTCTGCTCCCCACTCTGTCTCTGGTGAATCCTCTTTCTCTCCCGCGCCTCTGGCCTGTACACCAGCTCTTGTATAAATAAATAAATCTTAAAAAAATAGAAATATGGGAAAACAAAATTGGAAGCTGGATCCAACATCCTTGCCTAAGTAAAGAAATCCTGTGTAATGCCAACAGAGTGAGAAATTAAAATAGGAAGGAGCAAGTGTCTTCTTCATGCCCTCTTCTCTCCTTTTAGCACCTATAACTGCCAGAAGCTAATGGGGACCTACTTGAAAAAGAAAACTGTGATTTACAGAGTGCCAGTCCCAGTATCTCTTTTAAATTTACCTGCAGAAAAGTTCATTCTTTTTGGTGTAGAGTCCTATGAGTTTTGACAAATACACTGAATTATGTAAGCATCGCAAATAAAAATACAAAACTGTTTCATCATGCCCCTAAATTCCCCCATGTCCCTTCAATCCTCAGTCACTCCAGCTACTGTTAGGGTGTCAGTCTGTATAATGGTGATTTCTCCAGAATGTCATACAACTGGAATTAATATCTAGTTTTGAGTCTGACTTCTTTTGCTTAGTGTAATACATTCAAGATTTATTCATCTTGTTGCTTCTATGAACAGTTTGGTTCTTTTCATTGCTTGCTGGGCAGTGTTATGTTGTAGGGATATATTAGGGTTGAATCCATTTACCCATTTAGGGACATGGGTTGTTTCCAGCTTTGGTATTCATGAATAGAGCTGGTATACACTTTGGGTATAAATTTTTGTGTGAAGTGTATTGGCCAAATGGAGTCCCACAGAAAATAAGTAGATGTCCTGGCCCCAGGCAACTGTCAATGTTAGCTTAGTTGGATAAAGGATCTTTGCTAGTTAAGTTAAAGATTTTAAAATGGGTGTATCCTGGAGTCTCCAAATGGAACTTCAATTTGGTGGTGTGCACTTAAAAGGGACAGAGTGAGAAAAAAGACACACAGAGAAGTGAAGTCAGAGGTATAATGTGATGTCAGTGGTATAATGTGATGTGAGAGGTATAATGTGATGCCAGAGGTATAATGCCACAACCAGAGAAGCTAAGCCACCAAGCAACCATCAGAAGCAAGAAGAGGCAATGAATGGATTCCCATCCAGGCTTTCTGGAGAGAGTGTGCCACGTCACCTAGATTTGGACTTGTGGCCTCCTGAACAATGAAGGAATAAATTTCTGTTGTTTTAAGAAGCCAAGATTGTGGTAATTTGTTACAGTATCCCTAGGAAGGCAATATAATAAATTTTCATTTATTTTGTGTAAATACGTGGCAATGGAATTACTGAGTCATTTGAAAGTGCACATATGTAATATATATATATATTTCCTAAAAAGTCTTATTCTTGCAATTACTTTTAAATCTTTGCTCATATATATTTACATTTCTGATAATTGCTACCAAACAGTCTGTCTTAAAAACAAACAGAAAACAAATATTCTGTCTT